CTCTCTCTCTCTCTCTCTCTCTCTCTCTCTCTCTCTCTCTCTCTCTCTCTCACTTCTTCATCTTTCTTTCCCTCTCTCTTGCTCCATCTACCTTTGTCTCTCACTCTTTCTTTTCTGCCTTTTGCTCCCCATCTATTTTTCACTCTCCTCTTCCTCCTCCAAACCCTGTGTTGTTATAAAGACCAACTTCTAGCAGTACACTGCTGTTGTGTGTTTGTGACTGAGAAGACAAAGAGAAAGTGTCATTACCAAAATGTGATACATATGGCTGTCCCAAATTTCTCTCAGGGGACCAATAGAAAACCTCTGTTTCTCCTTTTCCCCTCTATTTTCTCCCGGTCCGATCTGGGATGGACATTAGTGTTTATAGGGACATTAAACCCATACACACTTACACTTACTTGCCTTGCTTTTGCACTTACACATACACTTACACATACACTTGCACATATTCTTACACATACACTTACACATACACTTGCACATATTCTTACACATACACTGACACTTTCACTGACAGTTACGCTTACACTTACACTCACACTTACACTCACACTTACTTTTACCCTTACCCTTACACTTATACTTACCCTTACACTAATACTTACCCTTACACTCACTGTTACTTTTACTCTTACACTTACACTTTTATATTCTCTCCTTCCAGATGACCAAGTTCCACATCCCCAGTGGCGAGTTGCAATTCAGCAATGAGGAGGTGGATATGCAGCGGCTTCTCATGTGGCAGCAGCTGGCCTCGCTAGTCACGCCGTCCATTCACAGTGTGGTCGAGTTCTCCAAACGGGTACCAAGTGAGTTGAGCTGTTTTGTGGTCGGAAGTGTCTGCCATCTGGAAGCAGCCATGTGCATGTACCCGCTCTCACAAGTGGACGAAGCTCTTTCTTGCTGGTTATTTACCTTTTCATTAGTGTTATTCTCTTATGTGTGCCTGCGTGTCTTGTTTAGATATGGTTATGTCTCTCTCTCTCTCTCTCTCTCTCTCTCTCTCTCTCTCTCTCACACACACACCCTCTGTCTTTGTCTGTCTGTCTGTCTGTCTGTCTGTCTGTCTGTCTGTCTGTCTGTCTGTCTGTCCATATCTCTCTCTCTATCTCTATCTCTCTTTCTCTCTTTCTTTTTTCTGTAGGTTTGTTTGCCTTTTCCTTTTCTTTCTCTTTTTAATTTGTTTGTTTGTTTCTGTCTTTCATTCTCTTTTGCTTTGCCACTCTCATGTTCTCTTTCTTTTTTCTTTTCTTTTGTCTGCCTCTCTTTCTTTCTCACACTACATACTTGCACTCAAACACTTTTACATAAATGTAACTGGCCTTTCAATTCCTGCCTTCCATAATACAGTGTGGTTGAAACCTGCAAATGGGTGCCTATGTCAGTGGCATGTAGTATGTGCTCTTTCTTACGTCCTGCCTTCTCCCCAACTTTCTCAATGTATATTTGAGGTGTGCTGACAAAATGAGTCACTTCTCGCAATACACAAATAAATAGAGATATTAGCCAAATTTATAGATTTTTTCTATTAATGCCGTATTTTTAAAGTATAACGTGTCTTTTATTATTTCCTACTTATAAATTGTAAAAACTTCACCAACAAGCGTGATGTATCTATTTTCTTAGGGCTCGAATCTGAGAAGTAACTCTTTTTGTCAGCAGGCTTCACATTATGTTTAGGCTTGTTCATGTATTTGTGCACATCTAGGAGAAATGATGGCTTGATTCCTGATCCCCAGTGGGGCGGATTGTCCGATGTAGGATACAAGTATTTGCTCCGTCTGTCTTTTTTTCCTAACTCTATGGTGTTTGCTGTCGCTTTCTTTTATGGTTGTTGAAGGTTTCAAGGTGCGCTTCTTATATGTCCTACCTTTAATGGGTCCTACTTTTTTACCATCATTATATTGTGTCTCTTTCTGTCTGTTTTCTTCCAGCACTGAATGGCCATTGTTATGTTATTATTGTTATACTTAATGCTTTCTTGCTCAAACTCCTCTTTTTTCTGGTTTCGATATAAATCCCTTTAAAAGCTCGGAATTCCAGTTTCGAAAGTGGGAGTTACTGCAAAAGAGAGACGTATTATGGAACATGAGGCATTGATCATAACAATGTAGGGCTTAAAAGGAAGATTTTTGTACATCCTTGACAACAGCCTGTCGTAAATACTCCCAAAAGTTGGAAATTTGAGTTAAGACAAGATGGCTCTCAGCTTGCGACCTCTGTAAATCAAAGGATCATAGCTGTGGGTAAATTATGTAATCAACACCAAGTTTAAAGAAAAGCTGTTCAACATCGTGTTCTCCTAAAAGTGAGATAATCTAGAATATTCTCTGTGATTAAAGGTGCATCTATAAAGGGAACAATTTTTTTTTTAAACATACCTCCTAAATTTTCTAAATGGTATCAGTAAGCCATTGTTTTTCTGTTGCTTAATGGGCGCCTGTGAGAGATCCTACTTCTTAACCATCCCTTTCCTGCTTCTGTCTGTCTGTGTGTCTGTATTCCTTTTTCCCAGTTGTAAATGATTGTTATGGTGTGGGTGTGCTTCTCTTTATTCATATTCACACTCAAACTGTTACTTATATAAGCTCAGAGCTTATACCTATATGGGAAAGAGCACTATATAAATGCAATCTATTATTATTGTTATTACTTTCTTACTCTATCCCTGTATTGTCAGGTATATAAGACAGAGAGCAGTCGATGCCACACTTGGCTGTCCCTGGCCACTCCCTCTAGCTTTGCGTTTGGTCTCCAGTACCATGTCTGATAGGGCAGTCTTGCCTCTGGCATTCCCAAAACATGTCCCGGATATCTCCATCTTCTTTTTCTGGCTGTATTGATATCTTCAATCCCAGCTCTTTCCAATACTTCATTATTTTGGATAAACTCTGTCCATTTTATTAATAAAATTCTCCGTAGACATGTTGTTTGAAAGCTTTTAAAGTTTTCATAAAGTATAGTTTACCATCAATTTTTTCAGGTTTTCCAGAGTTATCCCAGGACGACCAGCTGATCTTGATCAAGACGGGTTTCTTTGAGATCTGGCTGACACGCATGTCTCGTATGATGAGCAAGGAGGAGAATGTGATTGTGTTTGAGGATGGCAGTTCTATACCCCGACAGGAACTGGCTGTAGTCTACACGGTAATTGCTGGATTTGCATATAGTTGTGACAATGATGAGGGAAAAGAGAGGGTTTTTATTAGCTGTTATAATGTGGAAGGGGAGAGAGGGATAGTATTTTGTTCCGATGGTTAATTTTTCCGATTTCAAGGTTCCAGACTGAAGAAGCTATATGCTTTGTGGATATATTATATGTCCAGATTTTTAATGAGAATTTAGATTTTGTTTAGATTTCTGTAGGTATGATTTTGTTACCCCAAGATTTTTCTCTTTAATTTTTCCTAGCAAAGAATTGGGCAGTGACCTATTTGTAGTATGAATGAATTGTTAAAATGCATTTGCAGTTCTACTTCGGTCTAGGAATTTAGTGTCATATTTGAGAGTGTTGCGAAAATGTCCTTTAATTATTTTACAATTTGTCTTTTCCATTTCACATTACTCTTGAAAGTTTTGCAGACTTTGGAAATATAAATGTTTCATTTTCTGTGTGTCTACAGCCAGATTTTGTGACGTCCATGTTTGAAGTGAGCACAGGTTTCAACACGCTCTGTCTCAACGACACTGAGATCGGCCTCTTCACGGGCATCGTGCTAGCCACAGCTGGTAAGTTTGATTGTAATCAGATGAAGTGATGGTTGATAGTTTCACATCTCTTCTGGTTGAAGGCTTACATTATTGAGGGTGGACCTGTTGACAGGCCACCTCATTCCCATTTCATCTCGGTTCTTAAAAGTATGCACCACTTGGCAGACTGTTTCGCACTCATGTACTGTCTTTCACTCATATATCTCAATAGTACCATTCCATTTCACAGCCAATGCCTCTACCCCCAACCATTAATGTGATCATTTTTATTGTGCAGTTAAGATACTGTGGTTTATCCCGTCTGTAGATGTCCTAGTATGTGTGGCTTTCTTGTCAGGTCTGATGTAAACTTACACCATTGGGTGGTTTGCGGATGCTCTGATATGGTTTGCTCTTTCTTTCCTATCAAACTTCTGTTGTTCTTATCTCTCCTCCACCCCCCTGGGCGGTGTGGGTGGTTGGCGGGTGCTCTGGTGTGGTTTGCTTCTTCTTTCCTATTAAACATCTATCGTCCTTATCTCCCCTCCTTCTTTTTTATGTTTTGTTACTCTCTTGTAACACCTCTAATCTTCTGGCGCTCATATGACCTTATGCAGTTGCGAGCGCCTTAAAACCTCTACTAAAACAAATAAACCATGGGCGGTGCCACTGACTGAAGTGTCTTTAGGCCATTCCCAAAGGGGGGACATTTCTCGTTCTAATGCACAGTAGAATTTTAAATGGGCTGATCCAACTGTTCCTGAACTACAACAGAGAACTGCTGCTTTGTCTTTCCAAATACTATCGTCATTTTCCTCTACTTCTTTTGTATGTTTGTCACACTCTTGTGACCCACTATTTCCGGGGTGCCTTGATAGTTGAAGCAGACTTTTTGCTGTTGAAGCTAAAGAGGTGAGCAGAGTAAGTTTGATTCCCTGTAAGGACTTTTCTGTTGACATCCTCCCCTTGGCACTCATATGACCTTATGCAGTTATGAGCGCCGTAAAATCTCTACTAAGACTTATCTCTCCTCCTTCTTTTCTTTGTATGTTACTCTCTCATAACACCTCTGAACTATGACGTATTTGTGTTGTAAGTGCTGTAAAACTTTCACTAAAACTAAATTTAAAACTTACACTAATTCATAGTCCCATTTTTCTAACCCTGGTTCAGATCGGCAGGGTCTGTCAGACCCTCAGTCGGTAGAGCGGATACAGGACCGGCTGGTGGAAGCCCTCAAGCTGCAGGTGAGCCGCAACCACTCGACAGAGGAAAACCTCTTTGCAGCAGTCATCATGAAGCTACCGGAGCTTCGCACTCTTGGCTCTCAGCACCACGACCTGCTGCGCTGGTACCGTATGCAGTGGCACCGTGCCAGCCTACCGCCCCTCTTTGCTGAGATCTACGACATCCCGAAAAACCAGGTGGAGCCTCTCCCACCACAGAGCACCTGAGAAGACCACCACCCCTCCCCACTCCTTTTACCTGGGACAAAATACAGCCTATTTTGCCCACCAAGGGACATTCTCAGGATTTTACCCTGAATTTGGGATTCTTTTTTTACCATGTGAGCTTGGACAAGAAATTGTGAAGGTTTTATTTGTAATTACAGATTGAAGAGCATTTTAGTGGTAGTTGTGGCCATCCCTGTGAACCTTGCTCCACTCTTTATACCATGAGATGGAAGTTGGTGGATATTTTGACCACCTCGCAATTATTCCTTGGCACTTTTCCAGGCTGCCCGCTAAGTTTATTGTTCATAGGTTGGCAGTAAACGGATTAAGCAAGACATGTCTAGGTTTGGTGATCTATGACTTTATAAATACCGATGTTAAACTATTTTTAGTAGAATAATTCCTCAATACAACACGTGCCATACTTGTGTTTTTCGAGTGGGAAAAGAACTCCTCCCACATAAGTCAACTACTTGACTGATGAATTTCTTTTAACAGTGGAGTTAAGCTCCCTACCAGGTGGGATTCAGGTATTCAGGTGAGTTTAAAGGTGAAGCATCTGATTATCCCCCCCAAAAAAAAACAACAACTGCCCAGTCTAGACCCAATGCTGAAGGCATTCCATGAAGGTTGAGGTAAAGCGGAGGCTAACTCTTGATTTTTAAACCTGAATGTCCATGTGTTAGCTTAATTTATTTACTGCGTCACAGAGACAGATTTTAAGTGCTAGGAGATCTGGAACAGTGGTTGTATGAGAAGTGAAGAGCTATAAGTTTAGAAGTTCTCGGAACGGAGACCTGAGGGGGGGATAGAGGGAATCCGTTAAAATGTGGTTGACTTTTTTATTTGATGTCTTTTTTCAGTCTCTTTTGGTGGTTGACCATGGGAGAAGTGGCTGGAAATTCAGGCTTGAATAAAGCATGTGTAGTTCCTTGAATACTTCATCTGGTATCAGATTTTAAAAATCTCGAGTCAATTAAAAAAATTGTACCCTATTGTGATCATGAGTGCTAGGTTGGATTCAGCCTTTTCATCCCATAAAGGGTCTCTAGTCTTGCAGTGTGTTGAATGCCTTTTGCCTGAAATTTATGCTAAGGGGGCGCTCAAAAAATGCGTGAAAACAGATTTAATACACAAGAAACGGGTGACTGATAACAAAGAGAAAAAATCAAAATGAGTTCCTAAATCTGCTTGAAACTACGATTTTTCTAAAAGTTGACCCTTAAGCCTCCCGGATATATATAATAATATATCTTCCTTTTTATCTCGAGCTGATCATTAAGCCCCCGCGTCCACCAAAATAAGGTCGCTTCCAGGCCAGGCTAATTTACTAAGTTTTTGCGTGGTGTAGAGCCGGCTCAAAACGATCCTCATCCACCGTGTCAGACCTTGGCCAGGCTCATGCAAGCGGCAGCGCGACAGCAAGGCTATTTTTACCCCAGTGTGTTATGTGTCACAGACAGCACAGCCATAGGCGATTATCACCTATGGGTATCGGCGTTGTCTCTGGTGTGTTGAAAAGGCCTTATAATATAGGGCTAGAATAGACTGCTTTTTAAAAAATTACGCAAAGGCTAAAATCTATCCCTGGCATACATTTTAGCCTTATAGATATAATATATTTTTTGCCCAGCAGACGTGAGTGACAATTCCTTTTTGACAGTTCGATTCTATATTAGATCGAACCTAGTTGTGACTGAATCACCGATAGTAGTGATAACATCTAGAACACGTATCAGCTTCTAAGTCTAAACTCGATGCCGATCAAGGGTCCTGGTAAGATAAATAATAAACTATTGTAGGGCACTCCTGTACAATTGCGGCCCCGTTTGCACTAAATCACACTTAGCGTAAGTACCCCCTGTAGTTGTTTTTTTTAACGTGTTTCTTATTTAGATCTAAACTGAATTTAAATTATATCTAATTTAGATCTAGATCTAGATATGTAGATCTATATCTAGAGATAGATTATCTTGGCAATATAGAATCTAGAGAGATCTAGATGATCTAGATCTAGATTCACTCCCACAATGGCCATCATGTAAACAAACGGGACCGCAATTGTACTGGAGTGCCTATTGTTGTACCTGTAGGTCTAGACTAGATCTAGTCTCGAAATTAACACAAGATTGTAGAGTCTGTAGTGAGAAGGAGGGATGTGTACTAGATCTAGTGGTGAGAACCATGTTGGTGTGATGAGTGAACTACACACGGCGGGAGGCCAAAGCTATCTTGAGAATGAAGTAATCTAGGCCAAGTGCTTTAATTCCATTTTTTGCAGTTTTTCAGCGCAAATCTACTATTGTACAACATATTATAATGAGATACAACTTTATTGATTTTGTAAAGTGCAATGAAGAAGCAAAAATGTACTTAAAGATGCAAGTTTCCTTCCAAAATGAGTCGAATCGAGGCTTTCTTAGTCGCCAGTATGGCTGACGAAAAAGTGTGCATGCAGGAAAATCGCGTACTCGGGCGAAGGAAGTCGGTGACTGACGAAAACAAGCTCATTTGCATGTGAGCCTGGACTGCAAGTGACGAAAACAAGCTCATTTGCATGTGAGCCTGGCCTGCAAGTGACGAAAAACCGCAGTGGACAAGGGGCCTAATGCAGAAAAATAAGTGTGGTCCTGACCACATTCAGGCGGACTTTGGTACTGTAGGGTAAATTTTCATCAGACACTACAATGATGATGCCTCAAGTAAATATTGCACTGAATAGATTAAGATATCCTGCTTCGCGACAGTGTTCTGGCCATTTGACAATGAAATATAATAGTAGTATACAAAAGGGACTTCATTTGATATTTTTACACCAACTTCTTTATGTCCTGGCTCTTCAGACACAAATATGTTCACACATATGCATGCATAGGTGTTGGTTCCATACAGTCACAAAATGAAGCACTCAGGATTCCATGCACCAGACAGGCTGCCTGGATTTTGAATGAAGGTTCCCAGTGTAAGTTTTGAATGTTCAACCATACATTTTTTTCCCAGTGCAAAAAAATGTATTTTTTTTTCCAGTGAAGTAACAAAGGTTTCCTCTCCTTATTAGTTTATTTACCCTGCAGGGTTAAAAAAGAATTTATTTATGTGAAATCGGTTAGAACCGCTTCCAGCTTTTTTGGAAAGTAAGGTTGTTTTTGTGTGTACAAAAAGTGATCAAAAAGAAATTTCAATGAACTGGGGACTGATGCTGCAAAAGAGATCTTTGTAGTAGTTTCCGATTTGTAAGGTCTTTGGGTGACCTTTTAGGGGGTGACCCTTTAAGTTTCTTCGTCTTCATGCTTGATGATGGACAGTCAATCCGGTGGTGCACACAAATTGTGCAGTTTCTCTTTAGATCCTCAAAGCTGCCATACAGTTTTCTCTCCAGTGGTGTAGCATATTCCTTTTGAGCAAGTCTTAGGGTTTTGTAACTTTTATTGAAGCCAAGGACCAAAACGACTGGCTGTAATCTCACAGAATGAAGTGTGTTTAATGTTGGCGCTGGTCATTTTGGCACAGACGTCACATACGCTGAGGGATTTAAGTTCATATTTTATATTTTCTTTGTAAATTTATGGCAGAGCTGGTTGCTTTTATAACTGTCTATTGATCTATAGATCTATATATATATAAATATATATATTTGTCTTTTTGGGGTTCAACTCATGTTTGAAACCCATACTTGATGAGATTTTGAGCACTGTCATTGATGTTTCTGTGCACAAGAATCTTAGGATTTTTTTCAGCCCCCGGTAAATCAATTATAATATATTTGTGAGCCCTGATTATTGATATAAATGTCAGTGCCATGAGTGTATACATACTTTAAAAAAAAAATCCATATCTGTGCTTGGAAGACATTGTGATGGGTTGTAAAACTGATCATGTTCCTAGTGCTTGTTGTACTATGCAATGTCCAGGTGATCGCTCTCACGCTGATACCCCACAAAGCTTTTTGCTGCTGCTCTCCCTTGTGAGAAGGTTATGTTTTATGGACCTCAGCATCTGACTAACAAAGCTATGTCTAGGTCCACCAATGTGGTTCTCTTTGTTACAGAACGAGATGAAAGTTTTCTGTTATCAAGACTCTCAGGATTTTTTTAGTGTTAGTAAGTTTTGTGGCACTAGCAACACAAATGTGTTATATAAGTGCCGAAGATTAAAGGTGTTATTGGCTTGTAACATACCAAGAAAAAAAGGAGGAGAGATAATGACAATGCAACAATGCATGTTTGGTAGGAAAGTAGGGGAAGACCACACCAAAGTGCCCGCCAAACACTAACCTCTCAGGATTAGAAAATACTTGTTTCTATTGAAAAGCAGATGGTAGCCACAGGTTGTTGCTTTTGGCGTGTACCCAAGTGTAGGACAGAATTTCTGCTACGCATTAGTTTCGCAATTGTTTTAGCTTATTTTTCTATGGTTTGAAAGAACCTGGTTGGTCAGGGCTTCTTCTTATGAAAAGTTTTACTTCTATGTAGCATGATTGCTAGTCTTTGTTGTTGATACATATACTTACGTTTTCTGTATTGAGACAGGAATTAGGAATATTCTTTTGAGACTTAAATAAGCTGTTCAAAGTTTAGTCCACTTGACCAATTATTCTGGAGAGTCTTTAATGCTTGCCTTTTGTTTCCAAGCAACAACTTACTGAAAAGCTGAACTCAAGTCAATTCTAACCTTTCTTTTTGCATTTTATTTCAGGCCTGCTGGAATTCTAACCCTCAAAAAACAATGTGGTATTATTTGTGCAACTAGGATATATGTTTTAGTACAACCTGACTGTAATTTTTTTGCTTCTTTTTGGTGTGCATTTGTGTTGAGAAAGAGAAATATTGTATGTATGTGTTAGAATCCTGGATGTTATAGAAAATGTAGACTTCTCTCCCTGTGGAATTTCATATTTCAGAGCGGAGAGAAAAAATATCTGGAAGGGAAAAAAATTGCCAGTGTTGATATGGCTCATTTTGTGTAAACTTTGCCTGCTTTTGTGAAAATTAAGTTGGGAATTTATGTGAAGTAAAAAGTACGGGTGCCACTTTTCTGAATATTTCAGACATTTTGGAAATCTTGGATGCACACTTTTTTGTCTGTATGAAAATTTGTATCCAGTTTTTTATTCACATGATATAATCCTGTCCTTTTGGACGCTAATAACTAGGCCCCAGTAAATATGGCAGATGAAAACAGCTTTTTTTGCAAAGGATGAATGGTTGTGAACGTAATGGGCTTTTTTTCTTTTTGTTTCTCCTTTAAAACAAGGATTGTAAAGTCAATAAGCTTTGTGATTGTCATGAGAGCACAAAATAATTGTTATTGTCAGTCATGCATTTATGCTGGGCTATCCTTCGGTTAGCCCATTTTTTTTGTACTCATTATAAAAGGCATTGCTCAGGGACCAGCAGCATTTATACCCTGGTATTGATGTTCATGAAGTATGTGTGTATTAACGAGTGTGTATGTGTGTGCGTGCATGTGTGTGAGTATGTGTGATTTTGTTTTTTTGTATGTGCGCATGCATGCATGTTGTGTTTTGTTCACGTGTGTGTGTGTGTGTGTGTGTGTGTGTGTGTGTGTACTTAGGCGTGTGTATGAGTGCATGCATACCTGAAACTATATAACACTACACAATTAGTGTGAAGTGTGCATGATGAGAGGAAGCTCACTGTGACAGCTTTTTATTCCTGGAATGCGAGAAAGAGAGACAGATTGTTGATAGATTAGTTCCTGTTGGTGTAACAAAGTCCTCTGTGGGAGACGGATATTTCTTGTATACTTGTTATTTGTTGTTACTTTG